ATCCCTAAAATTCCCATCCCACCACACTCATCCGTGCAGCATTTATTTTTCACTCGCCTCCTACATTCCCTAGTGCTGTGTTCCCCGATCCCTTCGCGACTTCAGTTCGTTTAGTGCCTCTGATCACCACGTATGTTCTTTTCCTCATTCTCCACTTAACACGACTTTCCGTCCCGGGAGTGGCCGCCTCCCGGCCGAACCTCAGCGCAGAGTCGCCGCCTCCCGGCCGAAGGCTCAGTTCTGAGCCACCGCCTCCCTGCCGAACCTCAGCTCAGAGCCGCTGCCCTCCTGCCGGACATCAGCTCGGAGTCGCCGCCTCCCTTCCGGCCTTAGCTCGGAGTCGCCGCCTCCCGGCCGAACCTCAGTTTGGAGCCGCCGCCTCCCGGCTGAACCTCAGTTCGGGATGGTATGGCCGTCGCTCCTCCGTCCCCAGACAGTCACGGACGCGTGGCCGCAGTCGCCGAAGACGCCGCTGACCCGACTGCCAGGACGGTCTGTCCCTCGGGGTGTCTGATCGCGGAGGGTGAGAGGGGGAGGGCTGCTGCCGCCGCTGTTCGGGGCCGGAGGCGTCAGGGACCACCAGGCGGCTGTGGTGTCCCGGCGTTCCGGGGCAACAGGTCTTTCGGGAGCCCGGGGGCGCCAGCTGTCTGCGAGACGCCGGGATGGCCAGGAGGTACCGGTGAGAGTCGGAAAGCATCCGCCAGGGGCGCAGCCAGGATTTCCTTGGGGGGAGGGGGGGGAGTGAGAGTTGAGCTGAGCTCGGTGAGAACACATCTTATCGATGCCTTAATCGGCGAGAGCCTTTTGACTTTCCGTCGAAAGCCATCTACGGTGGAGAAACAAAAATCCAGGCGTAATGTAGTGAGGCCGGGGGGGGGGGGGGGGGGGAGCGTGGCGGTCTTCTTTGACTACGCTGTTGCCCTCCGCAAACGAATAAGGAGGGCGGCTGGCGAGCGCCTTTGGCGAGCTCTGGCCGACATGAGCGCCTGTGTGGCCGCGGGAGAGCGGGGGCCGCCTGCCGGGACAGCTGAAGAGGTTTCGTCCACGGTAGCGGGCCTCCCGCGGAGCGCTCGGGCTCCGCGGCGTCGGGAGCGAGCCTCTCGGGACCACGTACCGTGGGAGGGGAGGCGCAGCTCACGACCATCCGTCGGGGCTACTCTGGCGGTCGGAACATGGCCCACACTAATGCGGGGTGAAGACCAAAATACTTCTGACGGTCGGCATTAGGGAAAGTGATGGCGAATCGGAGCACGCTGACAGCGCTGATGAACCAATCACCTGACAGAGGAAATGATGGTGAGCCAATCACGTGATGGAGGAACTGACGATCAGCCAATCACTTGAAGGAGTAACTGAAACCCTTGCCGTTCGTTGGTAATATCCAGTTGTTAAGTCGCGCAATTCGAGGCGCTTCTATCTTCGTTCAGCAGAGCTCCATGCTGGTTTCGTTTCGCTCTGCTACTCTCAATTTCGGAGCCGGCGTAGGAAAGCGTAGTTCGCGGCAGCTCTGTGCGCACGTGTACAGCCCGCCACGCGCACATAGGTGCGTGGCCGGTGTACGTGTGTAACGCGTACGCATATGTGTTTGCGTGCGCGAACAGCTTGTTGTCAACAACAGCAAGCTGCTAACTAGTCATTGTCAATGACGGCAAGACAGACAATGTCAATGACAGTTTTTTGGCGCTTGCGGCCCGGCGATGCAAGAATGTTATATGCAATGATGCGAGAACGGCGATGCAAGAACGTCTCGATGTTATAGCCAGCCAGTGGTTGTCTTTGGCGCTCCCGATGAATCGAGGAACACCAACTTGAACGTTTTACGGGGAACTCTTCACTCAACACTGCCCGACTGGCATGGAACACGACGAAGACCCGCCGATCTGTGTACGGAAAGCAGCCAAATGGTCACGGGCCGTCACTGAATCTCACACGGGCGAGTGTAAACGCCGACCAACTCGCCAAGCCTGGCAACCCGTACGCCGAATCTTCGAGAAGCCATTAAACCGCCGTCACGTCCCTCAAACCGGGTGAGCCGAGCTCACCTTCGCCCTCTCTCTCTCTCTCTCTCTCGCTCTCTTCCTCTCGCCCGATCTTATCCTCGTCTGTCGCTCATCGGGGACAAAAACGGCGCGCGCGGCCGACCGGCACTGCCGGGTCGGCCCGGGCGGAGGCAGCTGCAGCCTTGTTTTGACATGGCCGGCGGGGGCCACGCCGCCAGCCGGGTAATTGGGCTGGCACGTGGGCTGGAGGTGGCTGGCCCCCCCGGGCCCGCCCAGCCCGGTCCGGCCGACGGCAGCGCCCGTCGCCGCCGCCTGGTGCCCGCCTGGGGAAACACCCGGGGCGGTCCCTGCGCGCGGTTGGCCCACTGCGGCGAGGTCCAGGCATGCCCGCTCCAGATGGGTCGACCTTTCTCCAGCCCTGGACGGCCGCTGCAACCTAGTGACCTCAGGTCACGAAAGTGATCTTCGGGGGAGGGGCACGATTTGACCGAGCGGGCCGTGCCCATTGCCGCGAGCACTTATTAACAATAGTGCTGCACTTATAGTGCTGCACAGGTGCTGTAGTGCTGCAGAGCACTTATAGTGCTGCACAGGTGCTGTAGTGCTGTAGTGCTGCAGAGCACTTATAGTGCTGCACAGGTGCTGTAGTGCTGTAGTGCTGCAGAGCACTTATAGTGCTGCACAGGACAAGTTCACTTGAAGAAATGTTTTAGGCCCATCTCCTGGGGGGTGTCGCATAATTTTTCCCCTCCCCCCCCCCTCCCGCAGATGTCCGCAGGAATCTGACCTTGCAGCACATTAATTTAGAAGCTTCCGGCCGTTGAGAGTTGGCACGTCTTTTGAGCATTATTTGGCATTCACATCATACCTGGCAAAGGCCGTTACTCACCGCTGTGCTGTTTTGCGTAGGATCGTGGAACTGGATGTATTTTTTGCATGTCAATTCTCTTCAACGTGTAAGTGAAGGCTGGTGCGTTTTCGGTGTATCACTCATGTTTCTACAAATACCATTATCGTGAGTCCACAAAAGGTTGTGACATGTACATGCATAGCCCCTGCACGAGGTGTCGCGCAGCAAACTGAAGATATTCGTAGATATCTCAATAGCCTAAACATAAAGTTAACTGGCCTCACGACGACTACCACGCTCCGGGTTGCATGGAGTGGATGCGCTGCCACTCATGCCACGCGCTGGAAGCTCGTGTGAGAGACGTTCTTCGTTTTTTGTTTGTTTGTCTTTTTCTCTTGTTGTTGTTTTCTTATCCGGGAGTTGTTTCGGATGCATGTATTTTTTGATATCGTCAGCCAAGTCTAATTTGGTTCCGCATTGCTGGTTGTTTTTCGTCACGATTTGTCTGAAGAATTGTTTTCTTGGAGTCTGCAAGCTATTTCTCCTTTGTTTATGCATGCATCCGAGTCAATCATAAGCCATCAATCTTCCACTTGCGAGTCATGGGGGAGTCGTTTGCCAAATCTAACGTACTCCTTCTCGCCACCGTCATAACAAGTCTTGTAATTAAATTTCACAATTTGTCTTACGAATTATCATTCTTCGGTCTTCGGCCCATTTCATCTTTGTTTTTGCATGCTCCTGAGTCAATCAAAACCTGCCATTCAAACTCATTTTAGTCATGTTAGAGTCGTTTGCCAAGTGAGAACTGCGCCTTATTCACGGTACAACACCACCGACTCATATTTTGCCTATTTGTTGATTTTCCCGAGTCAGTGTTGTTAGAGTCAACATGGCTGAGTTCATTTATATTTACGCACCTGCGACCATGACTCTGACTCTCAGACGGAGTCCTGAGTCACACTTGGAGGCATCCCCACAGTGATCTTAGTTTTACTCAATATCAGGAAAAGACAAATTTTAAGTGGGTTGATTATTTATTACCAATGTGACTCGATTTCAGTTTGGTTCATTTGTCTTCGCAATACTCTGTTTTCCCACGTACTTTTTGCTTTCATCTGACTGGCCACACAATGTACACCAACTCTCCCACTTTTTCCGAAATTTTGAAAGCGTCTATGCCTTTCCGAAGAGAGGTACAGGAAAAGCCTGTACGAATCGAACAATTACAAACCGGCAGGCATCGTTCCGTTTGCAAATGCCTGGATGCGCTGAAGAATACACAATACGTCCCCTCTGCGGCATGCATAGTTCGGAAAAGTCTCTCCCCAACGAGACGCCAGCCTGCGTGGTGGTGGCGCGGTCGTGCGTGGGGGGGGGGGGCACCCTCCCCCTCCCCTCACCGTCACGTGGGTGGGTGTCTGGTGACTCTGCGCGCCTGGGGCCGGCCCGCTCGGGCGGCCTCCTCCTCGCCCCGACGGCCGTGTTTCAGCTCGTGCCGACCACCGGCGGCCAAGACAAACATGGCGGCGCCCATGTTGACGCAGCTAGCGCCGCGTTTGTCGCGGCCCATTGAGCGGCGGCCAGCGGCGCGGCGCCGGACTGGGGGGACCAGCGCTGGCGGCCGGCTCCAGCTCGGCCCGGCGCCGCCGCACCGGGGCCCAGTCACTGGTGTGCGGGGAGTCGAGCGTTCGTCGGTATCGGCACCGAGTTTTTGTTTTTCTGTGTCAAGCAGCAGAACAACAGGCGCAAATAACCTAGGCAGTTGACGCGCCCTTAAAAGTCAATAACTAATTAACTGACAGCGGAAGGGCTTCTGAAAGTGTCACAGCGATGTGTGATGCTAGGGCTAATGACAGTGAACAGTTTCCGGCGTTATTGTTATTATGTAGATCGCAATGAACCATGCCCTTTGACATTGTGTGTCACTAGCATTTTGTCATGCTCCGTACATTTGCACAAAAAACTGCTAACTTGTACTAAAGTGTGAGATGGTGTATTCACACAAACGCGAAGCCCATACATTCCATTGCATCACCTTTACGTTGCATTGCTCTAGCCTGTGTTTCAGTGCACGTGCCCTTTGTCTGCCTGCGCGGGCCGCGCTCGAGCACGACCTGACCTATGACCTCTGTGGGCTGCAGGTCGCTCCCCGCGCGTCGCCAAGATGAAAAATGTGAAGCTGCGTCCGAATCAGCGCCTGCGGCTCAAGTGCAACGCCCGAAGTCCGTCCCCTATGCGGATTTCGTGGTTCAAAGATGGCGTACCGATCAGAAGATCACGACGAGTACGCATCAAAAACAAAAAGTGAGTGTTCTGCCGGGAGGGAAGAGCGTCAGACGCCGGGTAACGTGTGTTGCCGCCGAAATGAAGGACACGTAATAAAAGCGCTGTTTCAAATGCATTTCAACTTGCGAGTGGTTCCGTACATTGTGGTTTTCATCGTGCTGTCACCAAGTGTAAGTGGGTTGCAAGCAGTGGCTCTAATAGGCTCGGACCAGCGATAGATCGAGGCTTTTAAGACACTGCTTTAAATGCACTCTATTCGCAATGCGTGTACTTGAAAATGTAGCAAAAGTCGGGAGACTACTCTCCGTCCTTCCACCCGACGCGGCGGTGCCGAAGCCCCTAGCGACAACATAGTCCAATCCCGTGTTATAATGTTTGCACCATATTCTGTAAATAACGGACCTGTCAAAAACCGGGGCTGAAAGCTGGCACTTCGTCGAGTCTGGGGGAAACTTGCGCCGGAGATTATGAACAGGCTGACGTTTTGACGTTTGGGTAATAGATGGCAGGGCTGATTTTGATTAGCCCAGATGAGAAAATGTGGCCAAAGATGCCCGTACCGCGGAGGAGCATTCTGAAGCTGATCGAAAAGTGGAGTGACGGCTTCCGGCGGAGGCGCCTGCCAGCACGGGGGGAGGGGATGCTCCGGGGGTTGAGGTCAAGGTGCACCTGGGGTGCGGACGCTGCGGTGAGCGACGATGCCAGGAGATAGATGAGGCACGTCCTGGCAGCGGAATCAGCGGCGGGTTTTTTGTGATGGTTCACTGAAGGCTGAATGCTGCATGAGCCGGGACTTATTTGCGTGGGAAGAGGTCACCTCCAATCACGTTATAAGTTTGCACCTGTTCCAGTCCACTGGTGCGATGGCGTGCGTGTGTATGTCAAACGTTGTGGCGGCAAAACTCGACAAATGTTGATGGCATACGATGAACATTTATGACGAATGTTTATGGCGTTTTATGTCGTGAGATGGGTTGTCATAGCGTCACTTAGGTGATTCACTTAGCGTCACTTAGGTGATAGCGTCACATAGGTGATTTTATGCCGGGGTGACGTGTAAAGTGAGACCATGCTGCGGTGACGTGATGGGATATCGGGCTTTGATGTGTGATGCGATATTGGGATCCGACAAACCTGATGTCGAATCGTGCTCTGGTGTTGCCTATTGTGATAGTCTTCAGTGATGACGTGTGATTTCGTGATGCTGGACTGATGAGCGATCACATAATTTTCTGCGAATTTGTTTCAGGCACTATTGTGTCAGGATGACGTACGATGTTGTGACGTTGTGTTGTGGTGGCACATGATGTGGCGGCATGGTGTCACGATGGGGACTGATGTGGCGACATTGTCTCTTCATTCTGACTTCTGATGTGGCGACATTGTGCCATGATGACGTCTGGTCTGGCAACATTGTGCCATGATGACGTCTGGTCTGGCAACATTGTGCCATGATGACGTTGAACATTGTGCCATGATGACGTCTGATCTGGCAACATTGTGTCACGATGACATCTGATCTGGCAACATTGGGTCATGATGACGTCTTATGTGACGACATTATGTCTTGATTCTGACGCCTGATGTGGCGACATTGTGTTATGATGACGTCTGATTCGGCGGCATTGTGTCATGGTGACGTCTAGCCTCACTATGTTGATCGTGACCTGTGACGATGTCTAGCATCGGGACGTTGCTCACCATAACACAACGTGATGTGTGACGTCATGACGTCATGGCATGCCCTCGCTGACGTGGCGCGCTCTCTCGCTCCCCGCAGGCGGAAGAGGCTGATGCGTTCGACACTCATCATCCGGCGCGCCACAGAGAGTGACGTCGGAGAGTACGTGTGTCGCGCCAAAAACAAGGACGGCTCACGCAGCCAGAAGTCTCGCGTCACCATGCCGAACCGACCCTGTGAGTGCAGCGCCTCTGGCGGCAGGGTCGCGTCACTCTGGTGCCGCCAGTTCGGGCCGAGCGCCCGCGCCGGGCCGCGCCGCCGTCATGCAGCTGCTAGAGAGAGGGTGCTGATCACTGCAATGCTCAGAATGGTTGAGTGCGGTTTGGGAATGCTGGCTGGCAGTGAAACTGCCTCTGTTGTTTCTACAACGGAGATTAAAATACCGGTGATTTTCGTCTCATTTGCTTGGGCGTTTGTTTCTTATGCTGAACGTCCATTGCTTTCAATAAAATTATTTGGGTATTTTATGCTTTTATTGCCGCCAAACATCGCCATTCATTTTCTCAGCATGTCATCCAAGCTTTAAATTTCGCCACGCCCATAACCCGACTGAATTGCCATAGTTGTGAACTTTTCCCGTTCCAATGCGACCACCGCAGCTGTAGTCTCCCATGACGATCACTGGGGGAGATTTGGTGATGGTTAGCGTGAGTCATCTGGCATCGCTCCAACGCTGCGTCTGGCAAACGATCGCACGAAATCTGGCGACGAACCCGGCGGTCATTCGCGCGCGACGCCACACCGGCGCGCTGACGTCACGCCCTCGTGTGACCTTCCGCATGACCTTCCAGCGGACGTCCAGCTGGTCGGGGAGCCGTGCGACATCCCCTACTGTATGAACGGCGCCACCTGTACGCTGTTCCGGGCTGTCAACGAGTACGTGTGCGAGTAAGTAAGCGGCGGGCATCACATAGTAACGCGGCGGGGCTGCTGGCGCCGATGGCACCGCGGCCCTGGACCTGATTGGGGCTATGGGGGCTATGGGGGCTATTGAGGCTAATGGCGGACCTGATTGGGGCTATGGGGGCTATGGGGACTATTGGGGTATTAAGGCTAATGGCGGACCTGATTGGGGCTAGCGGAACGCAGCATAGCCTCCAGGCTTCCAGAATACGTTTTCTGTGGAATAATGCAACTTCCCATGTGCTTCTATGTATATATATATATATATATATATATATATATATATATATATATATATACGCATATTTATATATTTATATACATATATGAAAGGTATATATATATATATATATATATATATATATATATATATATATATATATAACTTTCAACACTCTCCCATGCTGCTATGGCTGTAATGGTAGGGTATGTTTTGGTATGTTTTGAAATGGAATGGTAATTGTATGCTTTCTACGCTGGTCACGATACGTTACCTTAAAGATGGGATGCTTGTGGGATTTTAGCGAGGCGCACAACTGAGTCAGGAATTCGACGCCAATGCTGTGACCTTATCAATATTGTTTGGACGCGTTTTCGCCACTGTACGCCTTCCTAGGATGGGACCCTTCATAAGGGGATCATAAGGGGATCATGGGACCCTTCATAAGGGGATCGCAATGTACATGTTCGGGACTTCGCATAACCGACCAACACGACACATGTTCGCAAGGTGCATGTTCACAAGGTTATCTTTAAGATAAGCGACCCACAGGGTGCGTGTTCACAAGTTCACCGGCGTCTTGTGCCGCCCCTCAGATGTGACGAGGGCCACAAGGGCGTGCGGTGTCAGCTGTCGGCAGTGGTCACGATAAAACGTAAGTGTGCCGCTGTAGCTCATTCCTGCGCTCTGGGCATGTGAACGGCGGTCAGTGTCACATGGGTGGCAGTGCATTACCGGCCCTGAACTTAACCGAATGTGTAGGCTCTCTCCCCCTCCCCACCTTTCGCTCTCATCGCTCTGTTGTCTCCCTCACCCTCTCTTCCTCTCTCTCTCTCTCTCTCTCTCTCCTCTCTCTCTCCTCTCCTCCCTCTCTCTCTCTCTCCTCTCTCCTCTCTCTCTCTCTCTCTCTCTCTCTCTCGCTCTCTCTCTTCTCTCTCTCTCTCTCTCTCTCTCCTCTCTCTCTCTCTTCTCTCTCTCTCTCTTCTCCTCTCTCTCTCTCTCTCTCTCTCTCTCTCTCTATCCTCTTCGCTCTCTCTCTCTCTCTCTCTCTCTCTCTCTCTCTCTCTCTCTCTCTCTCTCTCTCTCTCTCTCTCTTCTCTCTCTCTCTCTCTCTCTCTCTCTCTTCTCTTCTTCTTCTCTCTTCTCTCTCTCTCTCTCTTCTCTCTCTCTCTCTTCTCTCCTCTCTCTCTCTCTCTCTCTCTCTCTCTCTCTCTCTCTCTCTCTCTCTCCTCTCTCTCTCTCTCCTCTCTCTCTCTCTCTATCTCTCTACTCCTCTCTCTCTCTCTCTCTCTCCTCTCTCTCTCTCTCTCTCTCTCTCTCTCTCTCTCTCTCTCTCTCTCTCTCTCTCTCTCTCTCTCTCTCTCTCTCTCTCTTCTCTCTCTCTCTCTATATCTATCTCTCTCTATCTCTCTCTCTCTCTCTCTCTCTCTCTCTCTCTCTCTCTCTCTCTCTCTCTCTCTCTCTCTCTCTCTCTCTCTCTCTCTCTCTCTCCTCTCTCTCTCTCTCTCTCTCTCTCTCTCTCTCTCTCTCTCTCTCTCTCTCTCTCTCTCTCTCTCTCTCTCTCTCTCTCTCTCTCTCTCTCTCTCTCTCTCTCTCTCCGGCCGGTGCCGCCGGAGAGCCGCTGCCGTCGGCTCCTGAGCCCGGTGCCGGTAGTGATGTGCCCCGCTCGGTGACAATGGCTGCCGGCGCTCGCTCGCCGCCGCCTCGCGTTCACTCACTGCCGCTGACAGACCTGGGCGGCTGGGGGACGGGCCTGCCTGCATGTACACATGTCCGAGCACACTCAACATAGTCTCTAGAACGCTTTAATAACATGGAGGTAGTCTTGTGTGCTCAGCGTGAGTGAGAACCATATCCTGACTAGTGGTGGCATGGTGGCCGTAGGCCTGTTTAAGAGGCTTGCAAGACTGTCATCTGATGGCGTCCATGTTGCATAGATGTGCCTCTAAGCCAACACTGGGAATAGCTATGGTACTCACAACTGAGAGTGATACTATACTCCAGCTTGATAACCTTCATATGCGTCATAATTTCGCTGGACAGACATGATTATGACCCCACAGGTGCCGGATTAAACGTGTTTGACTCGATATTTTGATTGCGCACATTTTTCCCTCTCTCCGAAACGGGCGGTGTTCCATGCTTTGACTAGATGCAATGAGAACACCGATCATAGCTAAGTAACAGGCATTTAGTATAAAATTATTGCAGCGTTTTAAGATTTTCGATGAATGATAAAGCTCAGCATCATGGAAACGACCATTCGTGTCGAGTACGCGCCGTGGATATCAGTGTGGTGCGCAGCAGTCCTTTGATCCCTGAAAAGTATTTTGTGGATCAGGCATTTGATACGGATTAACAGTGTATGAGGTGGCGGTACCGCTGCCGCTGCTTTTGAGGTAGCGGTACCGCTACCAAATGTTCCGCGGAATGTGTTGCATACATTTGTACTCAAGATGATTCGCATATTTTCCGTGGATCAAGAGGCCAATCTAAAAGACATTTCCAAAACTCTCACCACTTTTCATTTCGGCGTGATCTTTAACAGAAGGGGTTACACCAGATAGTTTATACGTCCCAGAACGTGAAGAGCTGAACTCGTCATTTACATTCGGTGCTTAGCTTTCCCGGTGGAAGGCGCACTCCCGTTAGGCACTGGTGACCAATGTACTGCGCGGCGACAGAGTGTGCAGGCCACGCACTCTGCATGCAGGGCGCGCGTAAACGAACCTCCGTTTGTTGCACGCTTAGAGGACAGCCTGGGACGTCGCCGCGAAGTGATCAGGTAAACAGGGGAGGGCGTCGGCGCGGGGCGGGCGCGCTCGGTCAGACGAGGCTGGCACCGCGGCTCCGCCGTGCCGCAGGAGGGGAAGGGGAGGGGAGGTGGCGTAGCTGTCTGGTTGTCGGACACCGGCGGCCGGCTTGCCACTTAGGGGGAGGGGGGGGGGGGGGCACTGCTGCGCACATCGTATGGTCTGCGGTGTTCCGCTTTGTGGCCGCCAGATCGTGGCGCTCGCGCTCCCGTTAGCTGTTGAAAATCGCGCGAACGGGCGTCGGCCGTCCGGCGCGGGGTGCTGGCCGGGTGTTTCTTCCTCTCGTGCCGGGCCCCAGCGCGCGTGCCGTCTGACGACCCTGTCCGCCTGCCTGCAGTTCTTCGTCGTGGCCACTCCTTGGGATTGGAGGCTACTGAGAGAATGCTTTCCGTCTATTGGGGATGACGTGTGTGAATGCGGCGTAAGTTGCGTAACGCTGTCCGCATGCCCCGAGTCGTTAAGGTCGACGTTTCCACGGGTCGCGGGCCTCAGAACGCCCGTCCTGGCTCGGCATGCCGATGTGGTGGTTGCCGCTGGTTCCGTGCGCACTGACGGCGCTGGCCGCGGCTGACCCGAGGCCAGGTGTCACCAGCGTGACCCCAGCAGTCAGGTCAAGGCCACAGCAGTGGCCCGGCGCTTTGAGAGTGGCTTTGGCTGTCGTATGACGTGTGTAGTTTTGCACGCTCGTCGCTGTCGGTTCGTGAGAAGAGTTAGCCACCTTGGCCGGTATTGCGGAAACGGCACGTGTTTAGTGATTGGGTCTGTTATAATGGGACTGAAATTCCATAATGCATCGTGTTCGCATCGTAGGAGGGATCAAGCTGAACACCGTTGTGGTCAGAATGCACTTTTGCAGAGTAATCTGGGGGCTCAGAAAGGCAAATTTACCTCAGAAATACAGCAAAATGGTCTCCACGAATTTTGACCACTTTCTTCTCAACTTGCGTTAAATGGGGCCCCTTGGTCCCAACCCTGCAGGAGAACTTAGGAAACCTCCCCATAGCCAACGCCTTGGGATTGCCAATCCACAAGCTGTAGTGTGCACAGCCAAATGAGCATAGTGCTGAGTACAATTGCCCCAGGCCTTCCACCCCCAAAGGAACCAGGTCAGCGTGTTGAAGCTCCTCGTCGTCAGAGCATAAGCGTGGAGCTCGCCAGCATAAATCCCAGCTTCCATGTTATTGTTCACCAGCACCGAACCAGTGTCCAGGTTTTCAGTCATCAGATTGCGCAACATGCTGAATGTATTTCCGGGGACTGAATTTCCCTCGTCCCACAAGACATTGTCGCCTCAACAGAGCACACTTAGTATCCCTATTTCCAGCTGTTCGCACAGAGGTGTGCAAACAGCTGGAGCAATACAGCTCCACACAGAGATATCCAGCGCAGATGCACCAGCCACGAAAACGCATTGCATGTGGGGCCGGGTGCCCGGGCATGCATGACAATCACACGGAGTCTGTGGAGTCACACGAAGTCACATGGAATCTGCGAAGTCGCACGGAGTCACACGAAATCACACGAAGTCACACGGAGGTTGCAGAGCACCGTGCAGAGCATGCTCAACGGCACGTTACTGCACGTCACTGCATGCGTCTGGCGGTGATATCAAGCGGTGTTCGAGGCAGTTTTCGCTGCACCTCTGGCCCCCTGGCCCTGTATGTGGGGCGTCCACTGAGATTCGGCTAGTATCGGGGATCCAGCTGGTATCGGGAATCCAGCTGGTTTCGGGATCCAGCTGGTGTAGGGGATCCAGCTGGTTTCAGGATCCAGTTGGTCTCGGGGATCCAGCTGGTGTCGGGGATCTAGCTTCAGCTACGCTCCCTCTGCTGGAAGGAGCGCTGCAGCGTCCACCGAGCCTCCCGCAGAGACGCTGCACATTGTCATCCTGACAGAGTACGCCCCCGTCATGGTCGCTCCGCTCCTGTCCCCCGTTATGGTACCGCTCCCGCTCCTGTCCCCCGTTATGGTCCCGCTCCCGCTCCTGTCCCCCGTTATGGTCCCGCTCCCGCTCCTGTCCCCCGTTATGGTCCCGCTCCCGCTCCTGTCCCCCGTCATGGTCCCGCTCCCGCTCCTGTCCCTGTCACTGTCCCGCTCCCGCTCCTGTCCCTGTCAATGTCCCGCTCCCTGGTCGGCCCGGCGATGGTGTACGCCGCGTCAGGCCACATCGGCAAGAGGAGGGGGGGGGGGGGGGGGGGGCATAGCCGAGCGTTTGTAAGGAGTTTGGCGACGAAAGACCCGTTGATGCAACGTGACTGATGTCACTGATGCAAAAACTGACGTCACTGAGGTCCGAACCCCCAACACGTCGCGTGAGCTTCTAACAGTCCGCACGTGTCGCAGCATAACACCGCCGCCAGCTCTCTAACAGGCCACGGCGGTCTAACGCCCGTCTAACGCCGCATGTTGTTACAGCGCCCGGCGTTGCGGCAATATCCACCGCTGAGTACCGCCCCCTGGTTCTGGTCATGGCCGGCCTCAGCCTCCTGCTTCTGTTTGTCGTGCTCGTTGCCGTACTTTGCACGTACAGGTAACGGCCATGCGACGTCACGGCATGACGGTGACGTCACGCATGAGTGCTTGCGGCGGCGCGCCTGGTTGCCAGGCGACGGTGGAGTCCCGTCTGACAAGCGTGTGTTGCAAGCTTGGTGTCGCTCTACGGAATGCGCGCGAAGCTGATGTGGACATGATGTGGACTACGTTGTTGGTTTCGGCAGCGAGCTGCAGTGATGAAAGTTTATAGTTCTTGTGACATGCAGGAGCATCCGCATAGCTATGTTTCCATTTTCAAAAGTGAAACCTTAGGTTGTCTGCCACTCCGATGTGCTTAAGAACGCGGCGTACTGACGGGCTGCTGCGTCGAAATGATACCGTCGTCGATGCTGGGAGGGACGCCGATCGCGGTGTCGCGCCCTCCGCGCCGGTCCTAACGCCGACCGTGTTGCAGAAAAAGGCGGGAAGGAGACGAAAAGAGCGCGGTCGCCTTGGCAGGTTCAAAAAACGGTGCGGCGATGAGACCGGCGTCGCGGCGCCACTCGACAGCTTCGGAGGGCCGGAACCAACAGGTGAGCTTCGTCGGGCGGCGGCGGCGGCCCCTGGTGGCCGGCTGTGCCGCCGCGCTCGCGTGTCGGGCGGCGCAGTCTACCCGGCGCTTGGTCGGGTCCCGCTGCACCAGAGCGGCGGCGGTGATGGGTCACCTTGTGGCTCTGTGGTGGTGGCTGTTGCCATCGTGCGTTGAGAAATACTCATGGCTAGCACGCTTGTATGGCGTCTGAATTCTTGGCTGATAGCGGCCGGCAATTGTTCTCATCCCGACGCCGTGCAGACTTTCCATTCTTTTTCGGAGGAGGACACTCTGAAGAGGTGCTTCTTTACGAAAAAGTGGCCAATGCGCTGTAGAAACAGGTCTTGTTATGCTCGTCCTGCGCTAATGTTTTGCTCCCTCCGCAGCATTTTTTTTTTAGATAAATTTTTGCCGAGCCATCACGCGGTCGTCGGCAGCCGTTCCCGTGCCCGTGCCTGTCCGTGTCTGCCCGTGTCTGTCCGTGTCTGTCCGTGTCTGTCCGTGTCTGTCATTGTCTGACTGCGGTCGCGCGCGTGCTCACTTGTTTGGCGGTGCTCTGACTGGTTGCGCGTCGCGCCGGCAGGTGTCGCCCTGGCGTCGGTGCCACTCGTCGACCGAGTTAAGTGCGGAGGCGCCGGCCGCCGCCCTGCCGTCGGCCGCCAGCGTGCAGCAGCTGGACTCACTGCTGCACTCGCTCGGCGCCGATTCGTCTGCACGGCCGGCAGCCGGCCCCACGTCCATACCAAAGATGCTTAGTCAGTAGACAGTGAACGCGTAGAGACAAGCGCCGCAGCCGACCGTCGGCTCAGAAGACCAAGCACACGTTAATTTTGAATTCCAAGACTTTGGCGGAGAGTGAGGGGAGCGCGCGTGATGCAGCTGATGCATAATGCAAGTGATATTTATTAAACGCTGTTTGGTGTTGAGGCGGTCTCGCGACCACCGGTCGGCGAGAGCGAGTATTTTTCTCGAGAGAGAGCGCGTGAACGAGAGCGAGCGAGAGAGTTCGAGAGGGCCAGCTATCGGCAGATAGCCGCCTTTTCACGGCTTGACACCGCAGGGAATGTTTATGCCGTGGACGTTTTTAGTGTTCAAAATATCTTTGCGTTGGAAGATATTTTCCTATATTTGTACAAACTTGATTTTGACCGCAGTTCCCAGTGCGGAACAGTAGAGCCACAGTGCAGCGGCGTCGGTCGGCCCTGGTGGTGGCTTCACGAACCACGTCCGGGCCGGTCCTGAACTACGATTGGTCGAGGCGAGCTTGCACTCGCGCTGTCGGCAAGGCTGGTCGGCGCGTCGGAGATATTCCGGCTCGCGCAGGCGTGGGCCGCCGTTTGGTACATCTAGTCACAGCTGAATAATATTATCTCTAGTTTGGTACGGGAGGTCACCCGTACCCTTCTCCCAGGGGCTCCGGAGAGCGTACAAAAAGAGCGGGCTTGCAATGTTTGCCTCGCGTTTTGTTGTTTTCATCTAACCGAGTGCTGCAAAGAACGTAACGTAACGAAACAGTCGTCCGACGGCGTCAACCATATTACGTGTCGATTTCCTGTGCCCCTGTTCTGTCCCTCCGGCAGTACTAAAACTAGAATATTATGTTGCTCAAGCGGTGAAACGTGGCGCCCGGCGCGCGGGCGGATACTGTGCTGTACATACGTGTGAGTCGATCAGTCGTGTAGGACTATTTAGTTAATACCTGTGCAGCTAAGTGTTCGTGGTGCCCGTCAACTGTTTGTGATTCGTCTGTTTGTACATACACAGTCCAAGCGACTGCTGATGACGCAGATGGCGCCGACAGCTCTGCGTTCCGCTTCCCGTCTCTTGCTTGTCGGCCGGCCTTTACTCGCCTTGCTGTTCGCTTCCGCTGTGCTTGCGGCCGTGCGCTGTGCGCTGTGAATGCGGGCGACGCTGTGTGGTGTCGCCGGGTTGCGCCGTGTCCTGACCAGCAGGGCAGCGACAACCACACCGCGATCGCCCGGACCCTGCCCGAGGCCCCCCTCCTGCCCGGACCTCCGCGCCAGATCCTGAGCGAGTCCCCAATCCGATCCTGTCCCCGATCCTCGTCCCGTTTCACGTCCGAGCCCTGTTTGGACCGCTGAGTCCCCGTCCGCTCTCGTCCCACCGCGACCCCGCCTGCCCGCGTCACCGACGCTGTCCTCGTGGTCAGGGGCGCACCTCCCTCCTCCCCCTCCCGAAGCGGCCACCGGCTCGGTCTCGCACAGCGGCCAGAAGCTGCTCGACCCCCGGCCGCGCCCGGACACGGAGCGCAGGTGTCCGCACGTGTCCACACGTGTCCGCACGTGTCCGCACGTGTCCGCTGTCCGCCGCTGTCTGCGCTCTGCCCGGGACCCCGCCCGCTGGCTGGTCCAGGGGCCTGTGCCGGCCGCACAGGTCGGCACCTGTGTGACCTGCGTGACCTGTGTGACCTATGCCGGCCGCCGGCGCCCGAGCGCAGGCCGCCCGGTCGGGCCGCCGCGTCAGCACGGTCCTCCTCCAGACCGCCATACAGTGGAGACTGATGTTTTTCTTGTTCAGAAGTGGCCACAAACAATAAACTTCACAGTGGACCGGTTATGTTGTGTGAGAGCGAAAAAGTGCCGTGTGAGGGCGCCGGGGAACGTGTCAAGGTGCCCACGAATCAGCACGGCTTCCGGCGTGGACTGCGACGGGGGACACGCAGAGGACACGAAGGGGGCACGAGGGGATAGGTAGGGGACACGAAGAGGGTACGAAGGGGATGCGAAAGGGATACTAAGGGGATACGAAGGGGGCATGAAAGGGACACGAATGGGACACGAAGGGCACGCTAAGGGGATACGAAGGGGATGCGAAGGGGATACGAAGGGGACACGAAGGGGACATGAAGGGAATATTAAGGGGACACAAAGGGGACACGAAGGGGCTCGATTGACAGAGGAGCTCACCGCTGTGAGACTAAGTCATCTTGGAACGTTGCCTGCTCGATCAGTTTTCCATAGGTGGGCTTCGCAAAAAGCTATGGGTATTGGCAGCGGTTGTGCATCTTTGTCTATTAAATAAAACCTCCAGATTTTAGCCCCCCCCCCCCCCCCCACATACCCCGCTTTGTTCCCAATTGCATGGACATGATGCGTAGTCGAGATTTCGAATATCCGTCTCCCGTCCCGTCTCCCGTGGCAGTGACGTCACGCGGTGGGGAGCCCAAGCGGTGACGTCACGCGGTAGGAGCCCGGGCGATGACGTCACGTGGAGTGCTCCCCGTTTGCGTGAGGTGTGATACTTAGAGGGAATGTTCTGTATTGGAAAACATTGAAGAAATCATCAGATAGGGTTAAATCGGCTTACATATAGCTGTTGGTATGCATTTAAGTGAAAAAGGCTGCTATTAACGACAAAATTTCGCTGCTTAGTCAAAATGCTCCTCAATGCGTCATTGATTCGTTGCGTCAACGTACCTTGCACAGCACTAATTGAAAGCCAACTGATGACCATTATATCTGGAAATCGTGCTCACTAAAGTCACGAAATGTTGACTGAAATGAAAGTTACATACGGAAGTCTCGACAACGTTATTTGTTTTGGCCTTGATCGCAGCACGGCCGGTGGAATGGCAAGATTTGGAAAGCGTTATCATGGTGTCATAGATGCCTGGGTGACCTTAAAATAGACTCCACGAAATCGTCTGCACACTTTGCGGGCATGAAGCTAAGGAACTAGGGGAATTTGGGTCTTAAAAAGGGCAGGGCTGTGAACTGCACCGAATGGTCTTCAAGATGACTATTTCAGTTTGAAAACCCCCATACAAATGTGGAACACTCCGTTTCAATGCCTACTGTTTCCGGGGGGGGGGGGGGGAGTTGATTTGACAACCCTCGGTTAACGTGTCGGCGTTAATGCGTAGTGGTTAAGGCGTCTGCGTTAACTACTACGCGTCTGGGAAACCCGAGGTACGGGATTCGATTTCCCGCAGTGCCCGCCCTTCCTGTCAGGGTGAGAGGCAAGCGAAGCCATATTCGTACAGTCCCAATGACACACATACATATGAAACGTACGGCTACATTTCTAAAAATTCCTTCTTAGAGCTTTGCGTGGCAAAAGCGCGGCATATCGACACTCTGCGATGCATTTTTAGCCCTGTGCGAATCAAATTTTCCCAAGTAGTCTGCTGAATGTGCAAAATTATTTTCAGAGCTGCTTGACTTCGCATGCGATGCAATTCCAACACCGTCTGAAAGCTGACTGGTTCGCTGACTTTGAATCCGGCTCACAGAGATCACTTGAAGCGACGCTCGTCTCAGCCTTGCTTTAACCCTCCAAGACTTATTTGAGTTGATCCTAAAGCTGATTTAATAAACAGGTGTGCATTGCAGGGTGAGCCATCATGTGGTCGATTCCGTCTAGGGAAGGGCGCAACGCAACTGTTGACAAAATCAGTGCTGCATCAGAACTGGTGTCCTTGTTCAATTTAGAAAATGTTACGGTTTTGATGATACTGAGGCAAGCATCAGAAATGATGAAATAAGCTCACTTATAGCTGTTGGTACACTTTTGAGTAAAAAAGGTTTCTCTAGGCAACAAAACTTATTGCGTGATCACGTGATTACGCGATCAAACAATCACGCATTGAAATTCCGTAAGTTGTTCAGTGTATTAGAGAGGAGCACTTTTCTCATAGATAAGACAGTAGTATTAGTCTTATTCCACTGAGAAAACCAGGAGAATGTTGAGAAAGTTGGGTTAATATTTCGGCCACATGCCTTTATCAAGACAATAGCACTTTTAGTACGGTTTCGACAAAGGCATGTTTCTGAAATATCAACCGAACTATATCTCCTTTCTCCTAGTTTTATCCGAGGAATAATGCTAGCACTACTGTCTAATCACGTAATGAGTGTCATATTTACTAAACATAGCCATTGCCCTGTCTAGAGCAGCCTTTTCCACTTAAAAGTATACCAATAGTAATAAGTCAGCATATTTAATCATATCTAATGCTTGCTTTAATACATTCAAACGTGAAACATTGCTTCAAGGGCGCTCGGCGTCGAGGACATGTAGCGCTCTGGATAATCAAATGCTCCCACCCCAACCATTCCATTCGTTCAACGCTCTCGGTCTAGTTTATTTTTGGATTCGAGCCGTTTCGACCAGACATGATCATTTCAGGGCTATGGGATGAAGGAAAATGGCTAACGGTGGGGCAGAATTGCATGCGCATGGGGGGGGGGGGGGGCAACAGCCAAGCTTCAACCCGCGCATGCACGCTTGGTACCCGGTCAGGGTCCCCTTCCCACGGGTCTCTCGGCCCACTCGTGGCTGACGCATGCAGCCTGCCCCGGACAGGCGGGGTGTCGCCAGGATGCAGAATGAGGCAAGATAGAGGATAAGAGGGACGGATGCTCAACGCTCTCGTAGTCTGTTGTTACACACGTCTGCGCCTACGCGGAGCCCACCTGAAGAATCCACGTGCATTGAGCCGCCTTTGCATACAACAGATTGCTGCCAGATGTGACGGGCAAGACGTCAATCAGGGATTTCCGTCTTCCGTGTAGCAGTGTTAAGCTGGCTGTAATTTGCGGATGTGCTGCAGCCTGTCATCGGACATGCCGCGTGTCCTGTGATCAACTCACTTTTGTTTCGTTTTGTGTGATGGTGCTGGTGCTGGTTACGGTGCTGGAAATGGAAAAGCTGCGATGTGGATATTCCCACGGATCGCGTAGATGCATTCATGTTTTGGCTCGCGTCTGTCTCACTCTGCGGACATACGCAAAGCCAAGAAGGAACGGCAAGACGGGCTTTGAAATCGTTTGACCAAGTATTTCAGATCATTCTGAAGAGATCACGTAACATGATGTAGTTAAAGTCCCAAATGAAGTAACGCAATGGCACTCTTTTTCAGTTTTCGCAAAAGCCTGTCAGGCGCGAAAAGGCCAGGAGTCCCTTCAAACAGGTCCAGATCAGGTAACTGGAAGGCAGGCCACTTTCTACAGCTCCGGATCAGCTCAAGGGAAGGGCAGACGCTTCATACAGCTTTAGATCAGCTCATAGGAAGGGCATCACTTCATACAGCTCCAGATCACCTCAGAGAAGGTTGGTCACCTCATACAGCTCCAGATCAGCTCATAGAAAGGACGGACAATTCATGAAGCTCCAGATCAGCTCAAAGGAATGGTGGTCACTGGACTGGCGGTGCCGGACGGAACTCCGACAGACGAGGACGCGTCGTTCCCGCCGAGCCGGCGCCCCTAAGTGGGGACGTCTGGTGACCTTTGCAGGCGCCGGGGCGCCGGCGGCGACCCGTCGTCGGCGACGAGCCGCCGTCCAAACATGGCCAGCCACTGTGTCAACGCCGGGCCTGGCCAGACGACACCGCACACATGGTCCCAAAGGTCACGGGTTGCCAGACACAGGCTGGCGCCGTCGCCGCCCGACAAGGTCACCGATAAGGTCAGCGATAAGGTCAGCGGCTGGGGGCGGCAGCGGCGGTGAGCGGCGCCGGGCGGGCGGCGACCGGCTGCCCTCGGTCGGTCTGGCCGTCATGCCGCGGGGATCCGGGGGGGGGGGGGGGGGGGCGTTGACGCTCGGTTACTGATATGGTGGACTGATATGGATTATGTTGCGTGAGATCCTGAGATTGTCAGCTTAGTCGCCTTGAACTTTTTTAGGAGTTCGTTATTGGGGCGTTCAAAGCATATGTGACAGAGAAAACAGGGACAAGAAAGGGAATTGGATATGCCTAGAGTATTAGCGTGAGTTAATGACCATAAAGCCGGGCAACTTTGTTGCAAATATTCTAATTCTAATAAGCTAACAAAAGTTAAAGAACTTTACGAAACAGCATGAAGAGTATTTCCATTCGCGCATATTCTTGATTGACAATAAACGCGTTAGAGGGGAAGTTATAAATGCGTGATATCTCGTTCATGTTCGCCTTTTGCGATCTAGTCGCTCATGAAAGTGTTATCTTTTACGTCCCAGGCTGCCGTGGTGGTGCTATTCTGTGTTGAGACAGACACATGTCGAGCAAAGCTCTGATCGTCGATGTTAGAAATACTTCCTACAACGAATTTTGTGTTCGTGTCACTTGACAGCTCTAACGTGTAGTGATAATAGGTCGTCCCACCGCGCATGAAACCGTCTCAAAAAGATGGCCAGTCAAACACCTTCTGTCAATTCAATTACATCCACACGTCATCACAAGGTTGACAACAATGAGACACCACATCACGTGGAAGCTGACAAAAAAGTGGTCTGTACACACGGGATTTTACGCTTTTTACACTTCTTTACTTTTACGGTCTGTACGCACGGGTACGGACAGACCTGCGCCCCAACGAAAAACCCCTCTTCCAAGCGTTATGTTCGGAAGCATTTCTAAGTTTAGCGTTTGCGCAAAGCAGTGCTTGCTGCACGCATCATGATCCCCGACAACCGATCGTCGAAATTCTGATCAACAGACGCGTATTATGGCGAAATCTTCACGTGTTGCAATGCTCAGCACGTTCCGCGAGGTCCGTCCAGCCTCCTGTCACCTGACCTTTAGCGGCAGCTGCCATCAGTCGCAGGCCATCCCAGCTGGGGGGCGAATAACGAGCGCCTAAAGAGGCTAGAGCGCACCCCACCTCGGGCGGATGAATCGGAAGGCAAAAATGCTCGCCCGCGCTCTTCAATAATGAAATCAAGCCTTCAGCACCGATATTCTGGATGCCAATGTTGGCGTAAGCCTGGCCTCGGAAGAGGACCTCTGACCTCTGTGGTCGCACACCGCCGTTATTGCAGTCGTACGGGCTCGGCTGAAGCCGAAGCATTTGGCGAATGAGACGAGACCATTGCTTATCGAGGAGCTGTCTTTCCCATGCTCATGGTGTATTGCAGGGTGGCTGCACCGCAACATAGAGAGAGCGCGTGCAAAAGTCCTTTAACTTCCGCGCACGAATCGTGAACTGCCTGACGCGCTGCAATCGAGCAATGACAACACTGTCGGAGGTGGAAGGCACGCAACAGTGGTGTAACTGGAAGCATGGTAAGGGTCGCAGAATCCGACCTGTTAAGCGCGTAGAACACGCAACGAAAGAAATGGTTGCATTCGGCGTGTTAAGCTCTCTCGACCCGAAACATCCCTTCCTTTCATTCTCCTATCGCTCAGGATCGCTCTGATAGGCTTATGAAGCCAGCCCGCTTCTAAAATAATAATGTATCTGGTAGGCCAAGGGATGTCGATTATGCGACCTTGTATTTTGTTTGCATGTATGTGTAATCAGTAAGTCTAGCTCTTTGACATTTTAGATACTTGTTTTTTTAAAATTAGGTAACCAATATTTGTCGGAAGTGGGGCTGCGTGAAGTGGACAATGCCTTGTTTATTTTCGTGTTAATAGGATAAGGCAAAGCTACTAACCCAAACTACCTGATTAAGATGCAGATCAAGTCAGTAATCAGCCAGAATAACACTCGGGCATGTATTATGAACGAATAATTGTCCGGACTATCGTCTTGGTCTTGTGTTTTAACAGCATACGACCTTTCGGCCAGTTATCTCTCTGGCCATCGCTAGGTGTCATTGTGTCCTGATTATGACTGGGCGGTGTTCTCAAGACTAAATAACACCTAACAGCATTCGGAAAATGGAGTGGCCTAAACGTTGCAATACATACTGACACGAGATGAGTCACGTTATTTTGAGGGACACAATTTTTTGTGTTATTTTCATTTTCCCTTTTATCAGAACAGAGACATGTGCTACCAGAAGGCTCAGTCCTGTTTGTATTCTCAAGTCAATAAACAATTTCCATCTTTAACTGGAACAGAGGCCAGAAGCTATCAAAAGACGCAGTTCTGTTTATATCCTCAAGTCAGTAAACTAAAGAGACCAGGCATTGAATGACTGCAAGGATCAGCTGCCGGCGCTTCCACGTTATAATGGTTCAGCACATCACTTCCAAATCGCTAGAACTCAGAAACTTTGCCGGATTTGTTATGTGTTCTACATTAATATTGAGCACCCCGTGAACGCATATTTTTTATTGAAATGGGGCCAACAATTTGCATTATATGATAAGCCCAACTTTCCCAGAAATTGTCCGCATTCAGTCGTAATCCATTAGTGAAAAACGTCACATAGTCTTGGATCAGTAATGCTCACAATGGCTAGAAACAAAAACTCAGACGCCCGGCGTTGCAGTCTCCACAGGCCGCGTGGCCTCGACCCTGCGACTAACACTAGGCAGCGGCCAACGAATGTACAAAAGTGATGGCGAATTTGGCAGAAGTGTCTTTGAACGCTGAAATACATCAACTCACGCGTTTAAAAGACATTCCAGGAAAATGTTGTATTGCACCGTTATTCATTGATAAAAGGGACGGAGTATCATTTACAGCTAGGCGAACTGATGTGGAATCTGATGGCAAAAGTGGAAAAGCAAAAGTAAAATTTCTTGTTTTGTGACGCTTCAACTGTTACAGACAGTGTTCCACGTTGACATGGCGTTTTGAACTGAAACAGCCACCTTGAGGACCTTTTGCTGTTCACAACCCTGCCCTTCAAAGGACCTAAGCCCTTCTAGTTCCTGAGCTACACGCCCGCAAAAATGGGGGCGAGTATTTGGGGGCGAGTATTTCAAAGTCAATTTGGCATTCATGACGTTATGTTACGGTCATTCAAATCCTGCCGTTCTTAAAGCCATGTGGCGATCAAGACCAAACAACGTATCATTATCGAGGCGTTCATATCCGGCGTTCAGTGAGCACGACTTCCAAATATAACGGCCATCAATAAGCTCTTAACAAATGTGTGCAAGACACGATGACGTAATGAAACCGTGACGCATTCAGGAGCATATTTACTAAACAAATTATTGCGTTGTCTAGAGCAGCCTTTTCCACTTCAAAAGTATACCAATAGTTATAAGTGACCTTGGTTCATAATATCTGAAGCTTGCTTCAATACCTTGAAATGTGAAGCATTCTCTTTAACCCTCGCCCTGATAAGAGGGGTATCGATTCGACCCCACCCTAATGTTTTTAGGACACCTCTCTGGTATGCTGTACAACCGTGCCCAAGTTTTCAGTAGCTTACTGGGCACCCATTGCGCGTGTTTTGACACCAAGAACATGTTCCCTAGCGTTTCTGGTTTCGGAGCAGCGGCGGTTTTTGACGAACACTACACTTCGATCTATGGCCGGCCCTGGCGACGGGCGAAAACCGGCGTTTCCAAGGCCGCCCGCAGCGGCCTGATATCGTTACATGGGCGAAGTCATACAGAGTAGATTTATGCTCAACACGCATAAAATATGTTCACCATTGCGCTCAAAGTGGAATATGGAACAGTCTTGATATATTTGCAATAACACGTGTGAGACGATCACGTCTGATATATTTTGGTACAACTCGTTGGAATATTTTACCTTTGACCGGGTGTAAAGTAATGATCATTTACTTTGCGACATAAGACATATTACCAATCGTGAGATCTCATTTATGCAAATTCACCGGTGTTCTGTCTATTAACCATTATCTTTCCTAGGTCTGAAACGACACGGGGTCGCATCACCCCCCCCCCCCCTCCCCCACCACAACCCCCACGCCTATCAGCCCGCGTAATGAGTTCTAGCGGATCAGGGCAAGGGTGATCTGTCTATAACACCATCAGAAAAATTATAGCAGTGAAATATACGCTACAGGCTCATCTTTGAACGGCCCAAATCGATTTCAAAAAAGCTTCGAAAGCGTTATTTCATGAAAGCCGCTCTCGCGCGCCCGGTGCCCGCAGCCTGGTGTTATCTGCAGCTGCCAACGTCGTTCAGTTTTACAGGAACTGCAACCCCGGCCAAAGCTGTTCCTGATCTTGAAAGCTGTTCTTGCTGTTCTTGACTGCAAGCTCCCAAGCCCAAGACGTCAACAAACAGGTTTCTCCCCAGATTTGACCCCCTTTCCTTCCAAGGGTCGGGGCTTGAGACCAAGTTGGGGAAGGGCTAAAGCCCCCCCCCCCTCATTTAATAGGATATTACGCTAATGACTTCGCTAGTCTATTCTGTAAGTATATGAACGATCTGAGGCAAATATACACTTACATTTTTTATTTGTTGCCTCATTTTGATCCACTTCTTTCATAAATGATGAGATCAAACTTGTTCTTGTTTAAGTTTTCAAGTTCTCCTTCTTCTGCCTGTACCACTACCTTTCTGCATGTCGGGCACACCAGCTGACATGAAAATATTTTCGCGAGAATGCATGTTTTTGCCTGTCAAATGACTACGAATTCAATTAGCTGGGTCAAATGTACGCAGCTTTGCTCGTATACGTTCATAAATGCGACTGAAATACCAAGGAAAATTAGAGGCAGTGAAATAGTCCGTTCCTAAGATCGCCATTAGTAGCGCAAGAGAGACGCAGTCCTGGAGCGCAGGCTATTGCGTTCTGAACCGTTGCTGGGTTTCGTCTGTTTTCAAGATCATAAGCGCGGGGGTGCGCTGGCGTTACTGGTCGCCGTTTTGCGGTGTGTAAGTTGCCTAGCAGCTTTAAGCAGCACATTTTCAATCGGTTCCGAAGCTTACAATCTGCACCCGACAACACAACAATTGGTAAGAGCATACGTTGTCAGTGCGCGTAAGTTGCATTGTTCAACTCAAAGCTATTTCGGTGTTCCTTTTACAGAACACATTTTGTACAATGATTTGTTCTAACGTTAGATAGGAAAGTGCACCCTGACCCTAATTTCAGCCATCTCATAACTGCATGTCTTTACCAAGGAATTTGAGCACTAAGTATAAATATATTAAATTAAATTATTCATAATATGGAGTAACAATAAGGCAAATAAATGGTTGATTATAAAGAGGGTATAAGTATGGGTCTAGTGTTGCACAGGCGTATACATCATGGCAGGGCTCCAAAGATCATCCATTTAAGTGTGCAGGATATAAATTTAACTTCATGATGCCAGCATTCTGGCACCCATGGCCTGCTACACCCAATTTGTTGGCTGCTCATCCATCATCCTTCGATCTGATGCCCTGGTGTCTGACCATCTGGCTGATTTGCCAAGCCCATGGCACCTAGATGCAGGGTCAATCATTTCCTGGCTTGATGCCGGTTGGCTGGTTTTGAGCAAGAGAGGACATAACAGGCTGTGAGCTCCGAGAACAGACTATCAAAGTATGAAAGGATGTTAATCATCTGGCCACTGAAGTGGTCAACTATAGAGGCCCTGCATTTTAGCAAGCCTGGATGCATTTAAGATCAGCATAAAGACTGAATCCCTGACATAGTACAGCATGGGAGGCAATGATATTGCTGTATCATATTTTGGTTACCCCAATTGTCATTGGATATTGGCAAGTCAAATCAGGTCATAATCTCAATTTTTGGGGATCTTGGTTTACTGACCTCCCATATGTTGTTGCGTGTAGTTGCCTTCATTTGCTGGCGGTGGCGCTGTGGCACAACTCACCGTGAACAATATCATATTCTGCTGTAAAAGTCAGATAACACAACCACACCATCAGGAATGTCAATATTTTGTCATGCTTTTGCATCCCCCAGTGTTCAGTTTGTGGTCTACTGCCCCTTCCTTTTCTAAAACTTGGCCAATTGGCATCAAACCAGGTATGGGGGGGGGGGGGGGGGTCAACCCAGTTGTGCAATGCCTTAGGCTTGAGGGCATGTTAGATGGCTGAGTTAGAGGGTAAAGGATTAGCACCAGCATTGTGTGCTGAGGCCACCAAAGAGCCAGGATTTGGTAGCATGAAGTTATATTTTCATGCTGCGCACTGTGCAAGATAAACTTTGGAATGTTGTACAGCCAGACTATGGAATACAGTGACACACATTGCTTTTCCTGCCAATGTCTGCTAATATTGGTGATGTTTTCTCCCAGTATTTTGTGTAACATTTACAGTGAAAACTGTAGCTTGTGCTTAACAATACCAAACACCAAAGGCATTCTATATTACATGAACACACCACCAGAGATTTCACAAGCATTAAATATCAAGGGGGCTGGTTGTGCTCCAAGAGAAGGGGGAAGACCACATACCCAGGGGTTGACAATTCTGACACCTGGATTGTCACCAGGACCAGGCTGCCACAGAGTTTTTTTAGTTGGGGGGATAATCATGTCTACCACTAGTTTACCCATGCATGTCACCCCTATAATACAGTTTCCCCAGTTCATTTGTGTGGTGTCACTTCACTTCATTCAATACTAACCCTGCCCTCTCATGCAGGGGTCGAGCCGCGCTGCTACCGTGCTGCCGCGAACAGCGGTGCGGCTCAGCGGTGAACTTCAGCCTGCGTGGTCGGCCGACAGGTGGCGACATGGACGCTCCGGACGTGCTGGTGGGCAGCAGCTACCTCGTGCAGCGCGCCGACCACCAGTGGCGTAAGGCTCAGCCCTCCGACCGTGCTGCTCCCTGACGGCAGTCTTGCGATGGCTTGGGACCGAGCCTGTGTTGTGCTCAGCCCTCCGACCGTGCTGCTCCCTGATGGCCATCTTGCGATGGCTTGGGACCGGGCCTATGTTGTGCTCAGCCCTCCGACCGTGCTGCCCCCTGACAGCGGTCTTGCGATGGCTTGGGACCGGGCCTATGTTGTGGCAGCAGCCAGGCAGTGATCTGTACAGAGCTTGCCTCTACCATGGGCCTGGTTCACCGACCTGGTGCACGGTCTGTCACGTGGGCATCGATCCTGGACCTGCGTGTAGGTCGACGCTGCAGCAGTGCCCGGTGTCTTGGCGTACCCGCGGGTGTGTCCGCAATCAGACAACAATGCTCCGCTCTTCTGCACAAGGACCATGACCTTTCAGTATCATTCAGCATTTCTTGTTTAAGGTTCCTGTGGCTTATTTCAGTGTTTTTTGAAAGGGCATGGTTAGCTTCCTCTCCTAAGAATAGTTAAACCATTTGATGTTTTCTTTTTTTTCTTCAATGAGGGACGAGTCATCAGTTCTGAAAATGTGTGAATTCCTAGAACATTTGTTCTTGTCTTGCAGATGATATGTTCATTTACCTTGCTTTATCAAGTCCATTTTGCATGCTCTAAAATCGGGGTACATTGGCAGGTATGAATATGGCCAAATATAGGTGTGGGCTTATGTCTTTTTAGTCAAAGGTTTACATGCAATGGTATACAAGTGCTATTAGGCCCACATTTGCCTTTATTGTCCTGTTATTTCTTGCGCTGACATTCCAGTTTGTGGTCTTGACTGACATGGTGACATGACTTCACTGACTGACATTGTGCCATGATGACACTGACTGATGTGGTGACATGACACCGACTGACATGGTGGCATGACACTGACTGACATGGTGACATGACAACACTGACTGACATGGTGACATGACTTTGTTGACTGACATTGTGTCATGATGACACTGACTGACATGGTGGCATGACGACACTGACTGATGTGGTGACATGACAACACTGACATGGTGATATGACAACACTGACTGACGTGGTGACATAACGACACTGACTGGTGTGGTGCCATGATGACACTGACGGACACGGTGACATGACGACACTGACTGACATGGTGGCATGACGACACTGACTGACATGGTGCCATGATGATGCTGACTGACATGGTGACATGACGATGCTCACTGACATGGTGGCATGACGACGTTGACTGACGGGGTGCCATGACGACACTGACTGACATGGTGCCTGTGCAGGACAGGTGTGCGAGCCCCCGGCTGACGCCCCCCTCTCACCCCTCTTCCGGCAGACTCAGCCGTCGTGCTGCAGCAGCGGGCGGCCGGCCCTAGCGGCGACCTCGAATACTACGTGCACTACGACGGCCACAACCGGCGCCTGGACGAGTGGGTCACGGCCGGCCGGCTCAGGTGGGAGCGGGAGAGTGGAGGGGAGCGGGTCACGGCGGGTCGGCTCAGGTGGACCGCCGGTGGGCTGCTGGGGGGCTGCTGGCCGAGGGGCGCCGCCCAGGCTGCCGGCCTGGCGCCCGTGAGAGCAGCGGGGGCGGAGCGGGCCGGTCGCTGTGACCTCGGTGGCGCGGCCTGGAAGGGACATGTGGATTGGCTCTGTCTAGCGCGTGGGCTTATAAACGCATGGATGTATGTGCCTCGCCCCTGTTGCGTGGCTAGGGTTTGTACAGGCTAGTTTAAAAAGGAATTATTGGTTTTCGGAGCGCGTCAGGTACATGTTATCAGAAACCATTCGCTGTGTTGGTCTCAGTTTTGGTGTCAGGTGCGTAAAAAAGGCGATCGCGTGAAAAGGAATTCGAACATTAGACGAAGCCATTACCAATCACCTTAGACAGGAACACGGAAATTTGCCCACAACTCATTGTTGCGATGGCCGCCATTTGGGTGAAGGATGGTGGAAGTCTTCGAGCCTCCAGCGCTCCTAGCGATCTCGTAGGCGTGTGCAGTGTTATACGCTGGGCAAGAGCCCCAGCTCGTCGGCTACCTGCGTCGGTCCTCCAGCCGGGACTGTCGTGATCAGCTGCCGAACGCGAACGAACGTGCGACTCTGTGACGTCGTGCCGTGTGCTTTCGTGACGTCACGCCCTGTGTGGTTATGTGATGTCACGCCGTGTATTTCTGTGACGTTACTCTGCGTGTTTCTGTCACGTCGCGCCGTGTGTTTGTGTGACGTCACGCCGTGTGGCACTCTGAGGTAAGGCCGCACGCTTCTGTTATGTCACGCCGTGTGGTTCCATGATGTTACGCCGTATGGTTCCATGGCGTCCCGCCATGTGGTCCTGTGATGTCACGCTGTGTGCTTCGGTGACGTCACAACGTGCCTGAGTGGCCTGCTGCGCCGCAGACGGCGCGAGAGCCAGCCGGGGCCGGGCCAGGAGCGGACCGCCTCCTCGGACCCGCTGCTCGAGTCGGACCGCAAGATCACGCGCAACCAGAAGCGCAAGCACGACGAGATCAACCACGTACAGAAGGTGGGTTGGCGGGCGGCGGCAACGACGCGGCGCCGGGCCGGGCCGGGCCGCGGCCGCCACCCGCCCACTGCGAGTACGTCCAGCCCACGGCGGGTCTGGCGTGTGGACTTGCCGCGTGCGGCCATGGCTGCAGCCCCGCCCCGGGGGCGCATTGAAGGTGGTGCTGTCGCCGTTCTCTGCACGACTCTACGCGTGTGGCAGTGCCGCTGATGATGCGTTTTGCATGGCGTGAGAAGGCCATCAGCAGTGGATGTGACCTAAAATTTGGACGGGTTGGCGTGACCATGGCGTGACTGCGGTGTGACCGTGGCGTGACTATGGCGTGGCCATGGCGTGAAAAGGCCATCAACAGTGGACGTGATCTAAAACTCGGACTGGTTGGATATCGGGAGACAGCAAGCAATGCTGAACCCGTATTTGTATCGCGGTTTTCCACAAAAGTCGTGCGTAAAGCGACGTCGTTGGTTACTAGTTGTTTCTTGGTCGGTGGTTCGTCTGGCTGTGCGGCGAATCGCAAGGTTTGCTGCGGGTGGTAGGTGGTCGTCATGGCAACGGTAAGGCTGTGTCGCCGCGCGGAGCTGATCGCCGTCTGCCGGCAGAGCTATGATGAGATGGACCCGACCACAGCCGCGCTGGAGAAGGAGCATGAGACCATCACCAAGGTCAAGTACATCGACAAAATACAGGTGGGCGCCGCTAGAGAGCCTCCTCTAGTGGTGGGCACGGGTCGCCGACGAGTACCACCTTCGTGTAGTGGTGGGCACGAGTCGCCTCTGAGATTCCGCTGTGGCGGTGGGGGCGCGTGTTCTCACTGAGAACCTCGTGTTGTGGCGGACGCCAGTCGGCGGGTCGCCATTGGTAACCGCCGTGCGATGGTGCAAAGGAGTCGTCGCTGACAGTCCTCCGCAATCGTGGGTTATTGAGTGCTGCCAATGTAGATGGCGTGCTGCGAGACGGGTGACGGGAGCTCTTCCATGTTGTCTGAAGCACGCGCTCCCGCTCAAAACGTGCCGATCCCGTCAGCGAGCAGTGGGGCAGTTGGCGTCCCCTTCATCCGTCCCTCCCTCCACCGCCTCCTGCGCCACAGCAAGCTTTTTCTTCTCAGCAAGCTCCTTCCATCGGTCTGAGTGCCGTAGCACCGTGCTCTGCCTCCAGATCGGCAAGTACGAAATCGACACATGGTACTTTTCGCCGTACCCGGACGAGTACATGAAGCAGTCCAAACTGTACATCTGCGAGTACTGCCTCAAGTACATGAAACAAGAGAACAGCTATCGCTTTCACTCGGTCAGTCTGGTAGGCCTGAGGCGGCGGGAACAGGGCCTAAATATTTTCGGGCCGCTTGCCACTGTACCCTCGCGCATGCCACTGTGCCCTCGCGCATGCCACTGTGCCCTCGCGCGTGCCACTGTACCCTCGAGTGTGCCACCGTGCCCTCGCGTGTGCCTCGAGCGTGCCACCGTGCCCTCGCGTGTGCCTCGAGCGTGCCACCGTGCCCTCGCGTGTGCCAGTGTGCCCTCGCGCGTGCCACTGTGCCCTCGCGCGTGCCACTGTGCCCTTGCGCGTACCACTGTGCCTGTGCTTGGCTTCATCCTGCCTTTCCCCTATGAATGGCATACCACGCAAGGGTGCAAGCAATTGTTTTCGGTTGTTTCGTTTCGTTTCGTTTTTGACGCAGGCTTGGCGGACGTGAGGTGAACTTAGCAGGTGTGCTTCCCTCGCTCCCGTGCCGCACCGCAGGCTTGTCTGTGACATCCACCATACGCCTGTGATGGCTCGTTGCTCCTGTGTCAGTGTTCCACCATGTTTCGGGACAGTTCCCGTTCATGTTGTGTGCATGCTCTATGCACCATGTTTCCGTGGGTTTAGCATCATATGTCCCTGTGTAATGCACCATGTGCCCGTGGTTTTGTGCGCCATGTGTCCATGTGTTCTGAACCATGTGTCCATGTGTTTTGCAACATGTGTTTGTCCTCTACACCATGTGTTGTGCGCCATGTGACGATTGGTTCTGCATCATATGCCGATGTGTTATGCACCATGTGACCATCTGCTCTTCACCATGTGGCCGTGAGTTCGGCACCATTTGTCGGTTCTGCACCACGGGACCATGTGTTCCGCACCACGCGACAGCTCAGCACGCTTGTAACCGTACCTCGTCCTGTGCATCACCCGCCTTCTGCGGCCGTGGCAGCGCGGTCCCGGTCGCGTCTACGCCGCCGCCGGCAGCGCCATCTAACGGCGTGCTCCCCTGGCTGTCGTTGACAGGGCGACTGCAGCTGGCGCCAGCCGCCCGGCCGCGAGATCTACCGCAAGGGCACGCTCTCCGTATACGAGGTGGATGGCGCTGACCACAAGGTTTATGGTAAGCAGCAAATACGCTCAAGGTATATATATATATATATATATATATATATATATATAAAGAAGACATGTGCGATTGAATGGTTGTGTAGCAACGAAATGTCTAGCTTTTGGGGTGTTTTGTGGCCAAATGTTCCCGGCATGCAACGCTGATCCTAAGATGGCCACCGCACGCTGCATCATACTGACAATAGATTTGTGCGCGTGAGTAGATAACAGTATTTAAAGAGCGATTCTACAACGCCAGCGTTGTGATGCCGGCGCTGGGGGTCGATTCATATGCAGCGCGCCCATTCGGCCCGCTGGAGTGGTGGCCATCCATGGCCAAGGAGAGGGCTGCACAGCCGGTCTATAGTTAACGCGGTTTCTGGTCTGGTTGTGGGCACTGCGCTCTTGCTTGTTGGCCCTGGCCGTTGTTTGGTGCGCCTGTTGAAGGTCTGGGCTGGCGTCAGTTTTGCTTGTGGCATTGGAGTGGATGGATCATTTGAGTGTGCTCAGACCTTCTTTGTGAAGCCAGGAGGTAGTCTTTTTACGGCCGTGGTAATGATTTATTGCTGGCTGGCGTCTTGTGCGGGCGGTTATCGCAACTGTCAACGCACAGAGGAACGTTAGTAAGTGGAGTTAAATTGAATACAGAAGCTGGCCATCATAATTTAAAATGATATTTGTGGTCAGTGTGTCATTTACCCAGCGATGCATGTCAGAATATGTGACAGCGTAATCAAACGCAAATCTCCCGGTCTTCAGCGTAGACTCTGGCCTATTCTCAGTCCTAGAAATACTTTCTTTCTTTTTCAGAATTCGCTCGGTTGCGAGCGAAATGCGCCGACCCTCGCACTGGTCAGCCACCCCAAAATACTGATCGAGGCGCTGTCGTTATCAGGTCAGAACCTGTGCCTGCTGGCCAAGCTGTTCCTCGACCACAAGACGCTGTACTTCGACGTGGAGCCTTTCCTCTTCTACATCCTGTGCGAGATCGACCGGCAGGGCGCCCACGTGGTCGGCTACTTCTCCAAGGTTAGGCGGTAAGGGGCGGGGCGAGGGGCGGTCCCAAACTGATGGGGCGGGGCGGCGAGCGGTCCCTGACTATGATGGGTCGGGACGGTGAGGGGTTCCAGACCGGTGGGGCGGGACGGTGGGCGGTCCTGGACTGACGGGGCGGGACGGTGGGCGGTCTCAGACTGATGTGGGTAGACAGGCAGTCCCAGACTGACGGGGCGGGACTGGTGGGCGGTCCCTGACTGTGATGGGTCGAGGCGGTGGGCGGACCCGCCCCGGCCCTGCACTCGACTGTGCAACTTGTGCCTCCTCGGTATTGTTATGATGCTATCATGGAAGGTCTGACACCATTTCCCAGTCCTGCATCCTTTTGTTTTCTTTTACCCGTCTGGTTCTCGTGTTCGCTCGGCCGTCCGAGGCTGGCAGCGCCGGCGGCGGCACCTCCGCCGTTCTCTCCAGCCCCGCCGGGCCTCGCTCGTCACAGCCTCCCCCCCCCCCCCCCCCCCCACCTGCCGCAGGAGAAGGAGTCGCTGGAGGGCAACAACGTGGCATGCATCCTCGTCCTGCCGCCTTACCAGCGCAAAGGCTACGGCAAGCTGCTGATCGCCTTCAGCTATGAGCTCAGGTGAGCTGTGGTGTGATGTGAGATGTGCGATGCGAGATGTGATGCGAGATATGAGAGCTGAGTGCGAGAGGTGAGATATGAGATGTGGAATTTGAGAGATAAGATATGAAATTGAGAGGTGAATTTGAGAGATGAGATATGAGAAATAATATGTCAGATGCAGGATGTGAGGGGTGAGATGTGAGATGCGGGTGCACCACGGCTCCAGTGGGCCTGGGCGAACTTCGTTACTTCTGTTGGTTAGCTGAGTCGGCATGGACGCAGTGGGCAACTGGTTAGCGTAAGTGATCAGGCGGCCTACACTGGTGAGATGCAGTAAGCATGAGTGTCAGTACGAAAACGATGAGCCTGGCGTGCTCCGATGATGCGGTGTAACCCGGGAACCCAGGCATGGGATGTAATCGTCAGCTTCTGCTGTGGTGAACCGCCAGAAAGAGAATCAGGGATGCGAGGCGAATGGAATGGGCACGTGAATAATCAAGTTCGTTTTACTCGCGAGTCGCGAATTTAGTTATAATTTGATTCTAACCTAAGGGTGCTTTCAATGTCGTGACTTTGCCTCTATTCGCACTCAGGAACGAGATTCGGAGAGGTCACGTGCCGTCACTGCCACCATTCACCCGGCACTATGTCGTTACAAATTCGCCCGTATGTGCGCGCATGCGCGCGGCTGCGCGTACTTCATGTCGCTGTGTGTCTGTGTGTGTGTGTGGGCATGTGCGTGGTGTGGACGGGCACTCGTCAGCACGCGGCCCTAGCCATCGTTGTGTCACCACCTCCTCATGTGTCACCGTCTCTCCGTGTGTCACCACCTACCGTGTGTCACGGCCTCCCCGCGTGTCACCGCTTTCCCGTGTGTTACCGCCTCCCCGCGTGTCGCCGCCTCCCCGTGTGTCACTGCCTCCCCACGGTCTCACCGCTTCCCGATGTGTTACCCCCTCCCCGTGTCACCGCTTTGCCGTGTGTCACCGCCTCCCCGTGTGTCACCGCCTCCCCGCGAGTCTTTCGCGTATCACCGCCTCCCCGTGTGTCGCCTCCTCCCCGTGTGTCACCGCCTCCCCACGTGTCTCCGCCTCCCCGTGTGTCACCGCCTCCCCGCGTGACTCCCGTGTGTCACCACCTCCCCGTGTGTCACCGTCTCCCATCGTGTCGCCGCCTCCCCGTGTGTCACCGCCTCCCCGTGTGTCTCCGCCCTCTTGCCCGTGTGTTACCGCCTCCCCGTGCGTCACCGCCTCCCCGTGCGTCACCTCCTTCCCGTGTGTCACCGCCTCCCCGTGCCACCGCCTCCCCGTGTGTCACCGCCTCCCCGCGTGTCTCCCGTGTGTCACCGCCTCCCGGTGTGTCACCGCATCCCCCTGTCACCGTTTTCCCGTGTGTCACCGCCTCCCCGTGCGTCACCGCCTCCTGGTGGTGCCGACAGTAAGCAGGAAGGCGTCTGCGGCAGTCCTGAGAAGCCGCTCTCCGACCTGGGCAAGCTCAGCTACCGCTCCTACTGGAGCTGGGCGCTGCTGGAGGTGCTCTACGAGTACAGGGACATCGCCAACCTCAGCATCCTCAGGTGAGGCCCGCCCAGACTCCCTCCGGCTCCCCCAGACGCCAACTCCGTCCGCCTCAGGCGGGGAGCGTGTTCGGGCGCTTCATGTGGGCCGCCTGCTCTGCTTAGGCGATCCGCCGTAGGCTGTCAGAGCATTGTTTGCAAAGTTTCGGCTGGCTTCGTTAGCGCCGCTTTTTTAGAACTGCAATTTGACGTTGCGATGAAGGTACAGATTTGCGTTGTGTGCTGGGTACTAAGATGAACACCGATTCTAAACATGCTTGCTGCAGCAGTTCCATAATCCAGATCGCATTGTCCGTGTGATAAAAAACCGATGCGTCGGCTGTGCTTATTCCATTACGTATAAAGAATGTCCGTTTATGATGCGTGAGCATGTACATCGCGTATTTTAGATACTCAGCATTACAGTTTTACGGAATGATTGACACGAGGTGAATTGCATTAGGAGTGGTGCGCACACCGACGCACCAGGCGAGGACGTCAGTCCAGTTCTTCCGTAGCATTACAGGGCATTGTGTTATTGTCAATGTTTGTTGTTCAGCTTGCTCACCCGTTTTATGTGATTGCATTTTCCGCGTTTTCCCGTTCTCAGTGACGTCAGCAGTGTTTCCCGCTCCTAATGACGTCAGCAGCGTGTTCCCGTTCCCAGCCGCATGAGCGGTGTTGTACCGTTCTCAGTGACGTCAGCAGTGTTGCGACCGCGTGCTGTCATGTTTCAGTGACATCACTTCCATCGCGCTGCCGGACGTCATCACGTCGCTGCAGTCGCTCAACATGCTCAAATACTGGAAAGGTGGGTCGTCGACCGGCTGCGAACCGTGTCACTGAACCCTGGGTGGAGCCGTCCAGCCGCGCCAAGGAAGCATACTTCTGCCATTGTTTCGAGAAAGCCATGTTGCCAAAATATCAGCCTAACTTTATCTCTATTCTCCTGTTTTTTTTTTCCGAGGAACAAGGCCTATACTACGGTCTTATCAATGGTGCAAACGATTAAACGACGTAAACGTGCTTCAAAAATACACACGTCATCGGGCGTTGAGTCTCCGTCCTCTCCCGCCCTTAACTGTGCTAGTCTCCGGTTGTGCTGGGGCCCCGTCTGCTGTCCGCCCTGTACGCCTGCGCGCGCGCGCCTGTGAGATGGGCGGCGGGCGTCGCTCTCGGGCTTGCTGAACGGTCGCCGTTGGCGCTGCCGGCAGGCCAGCACGTGCTGTGTGTGACGCCGAAGCTGATCGAGGACCACATCCGGTCGGACGAATTCCGCCGGCCCCGTCTCTCCGTCGACACCGGCTGTCTCAGGTGAGCTGGCCGGGCGTGATGTGACGACCCGGCGTGACGCTGGTGCGGGGGGCATTACGGGACGTGACGGCCGGTTGTGACGCTGGTGGGGATGGTGTAATACGGGACGTGACGGCCGGCTGTGACGCCGGTAGGCATGGTGTGATACGGGAGGTGACGGCCGGCTGTGACGCTGGTGGGCATGGTGTGATACGGGAGGTGACGGCCGGCTGTGACGCTGGTGGGCATGGTGTGATACGGGAGGTGACGGCCGGCTGTGACGCCAGTGGGCATGGTGTGATACGGGAGGTGACGGCCGGCTGTGACGCCAGTGGGCATGGTGTGATACGGGAGGTGACGGCCGGCTGTGACGCTGGTGGGCATGGTGTGATACGGGAGGGTGACGGCCGGCTGTGACGCCAGTGGGCATGGTGTGATACGGGAGGTGACGGCCGGCTGTGACGCTGGTGGGCATGGTGTGATACGGGAGGTGACGGCCGGCTGTGACGCTGGTGGGCATGGTGTGATACGGGAGGTGACGGCCGGCTGTGACGCCAGTGGGCATGGTGTGATACGGGAGGTGACGGCCGGCTGTGACGCTGGTGGGCATGGTGTGATACGGGAGGTGACGGCCGGCTGTGACGCCAGTGGGCATGGTGTGATACGGGAGGTGACGGCCGGCTGTGACGCCGGTAGGCATGGTGTGATACGGGAGGTGACGGCCGGCTGTGACGCCGGTAGGCATGGTGTGATACGGGAGGTGACGGCCGGCTGTGACGCTGGTGGGCATGGTGTGATACGGGAGGTGACGGCCGGCTGTGACGCTGGTGGGCATGGTGTGATACGGGAGGTGACGGCCGGCTGTGACGCCAGTGGGCATGGTGTGATACGGGAGGTGACGGCCGGCTGTGACGCTGGTGGGCATGGTGTGATACGGGAGGTGACGGCCGGCTGTGACGCCAGTGGGCATGGTGTGATACGGGAGGTGACGGCCGGGTGTGGCGCCGGTGGGGATGGTGTGATACGGGACGCGACGGCCGGGTGTGACGCCGGTAGCGGTGTGATACGGTGTGATGATGGTGTATGACACGGTGATATCTCACGGTGATATCTCATATCACCGTGAGATATCACCGTCATCGGTGATATCTCACAGGACGTGACGCTGGCACTGTCGGCTAAACGATTCAACCGGTGCTGTGACGGCGTGTAACGGCGTGTCGTGGGTCATAATCCTGCCGCGCCAGTGGCGTAACGGTGCGACTTGTGCGGCAGCGTTTCGAGTACAGCAGTTCAGTGACGGCGTTGTGTTGCGGGCATCGAGGACCGCGGACACGTGGACGGTGCCGTGATTGGTGTCAGTTTATTAACGTCTGTCGCTGGAGGCTCTGACATGGCGCATGTCAGACCGATGGCGCGTGTTGATGGTGCGTGGTAGCCGTCGTCGTCACCGATAATGTCGTGTGTGTCGTGACCGAGTGTGTCGCGTCGGTCAGCGGTGTTGCCAGATCTGCTGATGTTCACCTCGTCCCGATAGGTGGGTGCCACCCAAGCGACTGCCTCGGAGAAAGTAGCAGGCGTCGGTGTCGGCGGCCCTCGCGGTGCGGCCGCTACGACAACGGAGTCGTTCCTGCGCCGCTTAACGGAGTCACTTCGGGGCGGTGCGGATAGGCGGCGAGTCGGTTACCTGACTCCCCGACTCGCCGCGGTACGCTGCTGTCTGTGGGTCCGTCGCTGTGTTTATATCGGAGTCACTGGGCTGTCACGCGACTCTGACTTGCGACAGTGAGTCACTGGCGCGAGCCAGAGTCGTCCCCCGCTCGTTGTCACGAGTTATTGTCATTTCATTGTCTTGTCATGCGACGGTCATTGCATAAATACATCCCACCGTGTCATGGATCGAGTTTTGGCGAAAGCTGAAGGGCGTGATGTGCCATAGGCTAGCGCTTGGACTAATACACGTTACGCGATTGTAACACGCATGCGCACACACACGCATGCACGCACAGGCGCAGCCAGACATACGCGCTCGCATACGCAACACGCATGCGCACACGCACGCATGCACACACAGGCGCAGCCAGACATAGCACACGCGCATACGCAGTGCCTCTGAAACGGCCACTGTATTGAATAGAGCCGCCGTGCCCGACGACGTGGTATTAGAGCCATCGTGTTGCCACTTCCCGTCCTGCGTCACAAGCGTCAGAGAGACTGGAACATGGGATCAGGAGTGCGGTGACCATGTTAATCCTGCTTGGTTGCTGTCCGGAACACATATGCAGCTTTAAGCCATGTCACAATAGGTAAGCTGGTGTTCTTCAGTGCATAGTTGCGTCTTACCCTGTTATGTCCAATTTACGCTGGGGTTGTTTTCTGTTAGGTATACAAAAAACCAGCTCCTTAATGGAGTTGTGGCGCTGTCACGGCCATATCCAATCAGTTGTCTAAATGCACCAACGAATGAACACTAGGCCTAGCTCACGCGATGCGCGATGAGTGCTCCGACCCCCCAGGACAACACGCGGGAGACGCATTTATAACTGAGGCGTGCGTCTACTGTAGGCATGGCCATCCACATGAAGGCGATGGCCAGTCTGATGTCCCCACCGCCTGCAGCACTGCAGGAAGCTTTTCAGATTAATGTCCCCGAACAAAGTAGCTGACATGTCAGTGCTCCTGCTCAGTTTGATGGCTAGTCAGAAATAAGCGTGTCGAGATTTAGAATGTATAAGCCCTTGACTAGAGTTATTACGAACATGTAGCATTTTGGTAATGTAACGCAGGGTTCCATTTTGCCCGATTACCTTTGCCATTTTGCCCGATTACCCTTGCCATTTGAGCGATGCTTATCCCAATGACGTGGGCTGCTTTGATAGCATCTGTTCCACCTCCGCACCGCTCTTTCACATTTAGGCCTATCACACTTCATTTATATAGTAGGTGTCGATACCTCAACTTCGTTCAGCTGCAGAACCGAAGGTCTATGTTTGGAATGGGAATACAACCGCCGTCACATAAGCGCTTCACGGCGAGGTTACGAATCCACATGATTTGAGCTATGACGCCTCACTCGAAGAATTTAGAGCAGAAAGACACGCTTCACAGACTGATTGACATCTTGGATCGTCCAGCATGGTGAGGCGATCATGGAAACAAAATGATAAAAGGTGCTAAAATAACACGCCGTTTGAGCTGTTTCTGTAATCCATTGCTATTTATCAACGGCGTCATGGTGGATGAAGATTTGGTGCTTGGCCAGGTAGCTTTCGAATGGCCCATATAGATGTCGCCAGTGAGGCCGTCGGAGGCCGAGCCACTATTCCTGCTTCAGGTTCTCCTCGCTGCCGGGCTCTGTGCCGGCCACCGGCGTGGTGAATTCCGTTTCCGCCTTTTCGTAGCCCTCGTCGTCGTCCTGCGCCGGCTTCTTCACTCTGCGGGCGAAGATGTCGAGTGACGACGGTTGCATGACCGCCCGTCACCCCTCGAAGACAAGGCCGCGTTCCGAATAGATACACATGGCCTGCGCGGACGTCCACTGTCCCGTGGTCCAGCGGCCTGCCCTAGTCTAAGTGACCGTTAACGGGCGCCGAGTGGTTAGAGTAACGCATGGCTGTCTGTTCACGGCCTTCGAGCGTGGTCTGAGATGCAGTCGGGACTCCCTCCTGACTCCAGTCAGGGGGAGCACGGCACCGCGCGTGTCTGGGTCCCACCAAGCCCCTTAAAACAGCCAGAGAGCCGCGTCTGGGATAATCGCTCCCAAACAACAATCATCCACATGGCTCCGGCATTGAGATGCGTCGGCGTTGCGCGTCGCCATCCAGCGCATCACCCTTGACAAGTATGTGGAGAGCCCTTATCGTGTGGGTCGCGCTACGTTAACTACACTGCTCTGTCTAGAATCGAGGGAGGCTTTGAGGCGCTCTGGCGTGAGCTGTGAGCGTGAATCCTGCTCCACCTTACAAGGAAGCAATACGGCACATCCTACAGACTACCCTTTGCCGGCGGTGAAAGTGCCCCTGCCCTCCCCCCTCCCCACCTCCCATCCCGAATCTGCCAAGTCGGTCGCTGTTCAGGCCCGTCAGATCCTCACAATCGTAGCCCACTCATAGAGACTGACGTAAGCCACAAGGCGCGCCTCTCTTCTTATCCCCGACTCTCAATCTGACCACATTCCGCGTGGAACAGCTCGGGCCAGGGATAGGACAGGGATAGGGCAATGATGGGGCAGGGATAGGGCAGAGATAAAGCTTGGATAGGGCAGGCATAGGGCAGAGATAGGGCACGGACATGACTGTTGCACGCTCTTTGCCCCTCTCCTCCATCAGAAATGACCGGGAAAGACTGAAGGCGCTTTGACCGTCCTGAGACCCGACCACAAAACAAAACACTTTGTGTGGCGTTGGCGACCCGCCGCTGTCCTGGCCCTGACCCCATCAATGCCCTGACACGTGGCGCCTGCTCACAAAAAGTAGTAGAGGAGGTAGCCGGCTCCACCCAACATAGCCAAACTGAGCAGCAGGGCCAGCACGAACAGCACGATCTTCTTCGTGTTGTTGTTGCGCACTGAAGCGAACCAGTCGTCCATGGGATGCTTGGGATTCATCCACATCTCGGTCGTACCCTTCACGAGCTGCGAAGGCGAGGGATCACGTTAGGGGGCAGAATAACTCCGGGTGTCACGTGAGACGTTTTAAAAGGATCATGTCTGTTAGAAAAGGTTTGCTGTGCTCGCACTGGGACGAGTGGAAGCTTACGACTCAAAAATATAATTTTTCAGCCTGCACGAGTTCCGCACAACTAAAGCACTGGCCCTATTCATCTTTGTGTTCAGCCATGGGGCTGCGTACTGAAAGTACACAAGATGAAAGTATCTACCGCTAACGTGAACACACTTTCCATAGAGCCCATGCTGTGACCATGTACCTTACATAATACCTTTACAGAAACGTTACAGTGCAAGGATGATGACATTATAATTTTGGCGAGAAAGCATACGAAATGGGTCAGGAGAGTGTGCCACAACTTTCTATGCATCAAACTAACCCACAATTTGTGTGCAGACCCAAAGTTTGTTAGCACCAGGATGGGTGACAAATTAGGTACAATTTCTATCGGGAAGACAGGAGTGGAGGCAGGGGTCAGGATAGTGGGATGGGGGCGAAAGGTAAATGCGACGAGGAGCAAATCTTAAGGCATTCCAAAAGAGTATCTCCCCCCTGTAACATCTCCAAAACACAAGTATTTGCCTGCCTAGGCACAGTTTTTGTTTTTTGTTTTTGTTTGTTTCTTGTTTTTTGTTATCGGCTACCGTCGTAGAAGCCTAGCCATGGACGGATGGCTCATGCCCGCCCACATACCGGCGGATCAGGCCGTTCGACAAGCTTGGGCGGCGGCTTGGCCGGCTTGGAGCCCAGCGTGTAGGCGGGAGCCAGTTCGAACCGTGTGGTCAAGGTCAGCTTCATTGCGTGCTTCAGCTGCCGCGGGATCCGCTGGGAGAGGTACCTGGGGAAACGTACCGGTGCTTGGAATGGACACTGGAACCGACGGCGCATTGAATGGGGCCCGGGCCCCATTCAATGGTTGAATGGGGCCCGCTTAACTTATCACGCTGTGGCTGTGGGTCGTGGAAGTATACAATCTTGTCTTGGAAATTGCGCTCTGTGAAATGAGGCCGTGTAATTTGAAGTGACTATTATGTGTTGAGAAACACGCCCAGCATTAGGGATAACCAAGGATTATTACTGTATAATGACACTGTAAAAGTATTTACGCATCTCTCACCTCATCTCATCGGGAAACCATCCACATTCCAAGGAAAGGCACCTATGTCAGCGATAACTGCCCACACTTCCCGAACGCCCACATAGGAGGGGCTCAAAGCAGGAGGCATGCGCATCACTGCTTGCTATCGGCCCGTCCGGCCAACGAAGTAACGGAGGTGGGAGAGGGGCGCCGCTGGAGGAAGGGGGAGAGCAGGACCAGCTTCGAGCGCCGTCACGCCGTCCCACCAGTCCCAGTAGATGTAGGCAGTGAGCGCGCTCGTGTTGCTCCAGATCATGTAGGGCCGCTCCGGCGGGAAGTAGATGGCCGAGAAGCACTTGGTGCGCAGCTTGGCCTGGTCCGGGCCGTGGGAGTGCACGAACTTGAGCGCCCTCTGGCAGTCGCCCTTCTTGTCGATCAGGCTCTTGGTGACGGCCGGCAGCTGCTGCGTGAACTCCTGTCGGCCGGCGACGAACACGCGTCAACACGTTACGATCGCCGCTTGTGAACGTCGGCGAACACGTCGGCCGTGCGCATCTCGTGACACTGCCGAATAAAAATCACGAATATAGCTGTCGTCGCTCTGCATTTGCTGTTAAAAAAGAAAGGCGTTGGAATCACGAGCGGAGCACGATGAGAACAGTTGGTGTGACAAGGCTGCCGAAATGGGTGTCTCGCAGTGGCAAAATTTTGCTTCGTGAAAGATAGTATAGCCACTGCCACAACTGTCATACCGCGGCCTCTTCATGATCGGGTTTGGACAGCAAACTGTGCCGAGCCTGTTTCGCTGGTTCTGACCGCACTGAACGTTCGAGAACTCCGTTGTAGACAAAGCGAGCCGTCTTGCCCTTAATGAGCCAGTAACGGTCAAAGCCATAACGCGGCCGACTGGTAGTGCTGGGACTATCCTGGGCGAGCAAAAAATTACGGGCGCTGCCCGAACAGAACTGGACGGAGCGAAACGGGACGGATAAACAAGGGACGGGACGGCACCGAGCCGAATGCAGCCGGACAAAACAAAAGAAGCGAAACGGAACGGATCGGCGCGGCACGGCACGGCACGGCACGGCACGGCACGGCACGGCACGGAGCACAACGATCAGAGCACTCACGTCCGACTGCCAAAGTCGGGAC